TAATGATAACTCTTTATCACTTTGCTAAGAAGCTTTAGGTCTAGTTTTAATGACGTCAATTACTACCATTTTTTTGTCTTTATATAATAACAACGGTTTTATTTAATTATTTCAATTTTGTAGTATTTTAATTTAAGGAATAATTGTACAATTCCTAAAAAATAATACTCATACCTTATCGAATCGAGTAGTAATTGCTAACACAAGTTAGTTATGATCTTATTAGCAAAGTAATAAAATAAATAGGTAATAGTTTGGTGCTATTCTAATAGGAAAAAATTCAACACGATAGCGTAAGATTTGATTTCAAGTTATGCCTTCATAAATTGTTTTCAATTCAGAGTCGTGTACATTACGGTATAGTTCTAGTTATAATTTACAGTTGTCAGAATAGGATAATTATTATATAGAATTGGAAAGAAGTTAAATAGTAAAATGCTTATACAATAATACATTAATATTTATTGAAATCTTTCAGTATAATTGGTAGTTGTAAAATGTTAGCGACAGAAAGTAGGTATCACTTAGAATGGTATTATTTAATTTCTTTCTTTATATGGGGAGGTCTCAAGTACATAATTTTATTTTATAGTTACGTTAATACAACATTGTCATACATATCACGATCCTAATGAGACTAAGGCCGAGTAAAGTTGGATATCAATTTCTTAGAATAAAAAATTATTTGTTAAACTGTAACTGTATATCCAAAGTCATCGTTGCGCTCTCTATCCCATTACTAGTATATTTGACTATGAAGGATTATTTTTTCAAAGCACCCCTTTCTTCTGTCATTTAGTCTTCAAATTTGATATCGTAACTAACAATAGTAGGAAGGTTGTCTTCTTAAAATAGGAATGTAGTAGTTTATAACAATTTTGAAGGGTTAAAATTACGCTATAAAAAGCTCATAATGATCGAGGCTGAAACTTCGAATCATTAACGTTTTAGTTCAACATTCATCGTATACTTTTGCAAACAATGTTATATTACTAGTTTTTAGAACGTGATTTCATTAATCTCTTTAGGTATACTTTCATATACGATATTAAATTGCTAGTATATAGAATGAAATTTTATTTATATCGTTATATACGCGTTCTTATACGATATTACGTTACTAGTTTATAGAATAGAATTTCATTTATTTCTATGCATGCTTTTACACATGATGTTATATTACTAGTTTATAGATTATAATTTCATTTTGTGTCTTTATTTTGTTAATATCATTTTATTCATTTCTTAACAATCTAAAGATTGATAATTTTTAGCAACATCTACCAATGTCCCTCTTTGATCTGCACTATTTAAAGCTAGATTGATTTAATTCACCAAAGCACTAACGTTTTAGTTCTACATTTATCATATACTTTCACATATCATATTACATAGCTATTGTATAAAATGTAATTTCATTTATCCCTTTATTTTGTTAATTTCACTTTATTTATTTCTTAATAATCTAAAGATTGACAATTTATAGCAACATCTACAAACGTTTCTCTTTGATCGGTACTATTTGAAGCCAAATTAATTTTGCTTAGGTTTACGGGTACACGATTAAATACTTGATGATAGTAATTGCAAATAGAACTATTATTCATTCATTTATAAATTTTCTTTTTATTGACTGCTTCCTTTGAATAATACATTTGTACAACTATACTACCGATTAGCCGTTAATAGCTATACTGAAATAACTAAAAAGACTTATTTATTGAATTCATTCATTTAATTTTCACTTGCTGGCTTAAAATAACAATGCAATTTCAACTAGACTGTTAGTTCTATTTTGTCATTAATAATACTGTTCCCTGTGCACCTTGATTGTTTCCACATCATGATCACCTTCTTATTAATCTACTTGATATAAGTTGAAGTATTACATCTTCATTTTCTTTGATTCCAATATACAGCAATACAAGGTAACAGCTAGATCATTAAGCCCATTTTTTTCATAATTACGATATTAAATAATACTTGTTTATTATTCCCTTTTTTTGCTGTCGATAATGACTAAGTTTCATCATAAACAAGCTTTTAGTGAAATTTAATTCAAACTTATATCCTATCTGCATGATATAATTTTGAACTCTGATCTACACTTACTTTTTCTAATTTCCTGGTTGATGTCTTGGATGAATGTTAGAAGAAAATCTAATTTAAAATATGATTTCTTTCTCTACTACCATATAAAGATGATCGTTTCTATTTCTTCTACAGATACGTGAAATAAATATCATTGCTTTAACGGTTACGCAGTACTATATAATTGCTTTTATTTCGACATTCGTCACTTTCTTATTCTTCACCAAGATGGAATATGCTTCCTTATCCATTCTTTATCATTACTTGTAAAAAGGAATATGAAGCACATTCCATCTTATTCAACATAGCTAGACGATAAACTATTATTTTTTTGACATTGTTGACGTTTAATTATTTCGGGAAGGAAAATGAAGTAATATTATCTATTCCTTCACGCAAATCTGTAATACAATTTCAGGTATTTTATTTATATCTATCATCAAATGACATAATTAAAGTATTGTATAAAAATTGGCCGTAATTGAAAAATGACAATGAGTCAATTCTTTTAATTACTAATTTATACTAACCATTTAAAGGGATTTCGTAGAGAGTCTTAGCATCCAACATCTGGGTATATCGTTATTTTGACCGTGTCTTACTTTTATTTTTTACTTTTATTGTGATCTGTAGATGTGTATTTACATTTTCTCGCTATACTTGATACTATCTAATTACCTCTGTACTCATCTATTTTATAAGGTATAGATAAGTCGTTTTATTTTGACGGGTCTTCTATTTTTTTGCTTTATTGTAGTATTTTAACATGTAGTTACATTTCATTACTGTATTTGATACTATTCAATTACTTGTATATCTTGTAAGGTATAGATATTTCGCTTTATTTTGATGATGTTTTCCATTTTCCATTTTTATATTACAGTAATATATATTATTTTCTATCGCTGTGTTTGATACTTTTCAATACTCATGTACTCGCATATCTTGTTCGTATTGACATCATCATCCTATCGATGGCTTGCTTATACGCAGAAGTAACAGATAAAATATCCTGTATGAAGTATTATTGCAGTCTTTTCAGTTTGTTCTTTTACTATCATTCCGACAATAACTACTAGACGTTGGCTCAATTATTGTTTTTTAATGGAGATTTACATTTTATAGTTACCCTTACTAGATATTATCTTATTACTAGGGTATAACGACCTTTAGAATCTATTGCCTTATCAATGATTTTACTATGCTTAATACAAGGGACAGTCAAAAGAAAATCTTGTGCTAGTATTGTTTCAGTTTCATTTCCGAAAACTATTACTCTAACTATATCAATTTAGCTCGTGGATATACATTATTGTAACAATTGTTAAAGATGTCTCTATCGAACGGTACATTGCTTTTTTTAATGCGACTTAACGATATAGTATACTATCCCACCACCTTCAGATTTATTCGTAGTGGCGGTTGCTATATCATTTTACTTCCAAGGCTAGTTATGATAAGCATAGGCATAGTTTTGCCGTTATAGAAGAAGACGCTATTGTTAATTCGTAATGAATATTTTCTAAACTCATCTTGAATTTACAACTGTAGTCATCGTTCTTTTATACTAGTATTTGCTAGATAGTCTGCCCTTACCTAGAGTTTAAATATGAAAATGGATGTAGCCTTTAAATTATTGCTTAATATAAGCAAATTTTATATTCTTTTGTATGGCTCATATTGTATGTAGACGATTAATTGATTTAAAACTGTTATATAGTACGTTTATGATTGGTTTCCTTCAAAGTTATTTTCTATTAATGACGGGAAGAGTCCATTTTTCTACTTGGATAGTAATTACTTGTAATTGAATTCGGTCTGATTGCTTCGTGGCTGCAGTTCTAAGCAGCCTACAATGTATATGTACGCGTATATATATATTTAAATGGATATATAGTTCTTGACCTTTAATATTTATCATCTGGTAACTTTATACAAATTAAAAAGGTTATGTTTTCGCCTAATAACCTCTAAGCATCATCTTATTCGTCTACTCAAATGAAGATAGTGTTGTACAATGCCAAGCACTGATTTATTTTATAATTACCCATCTAGGAATCTTTTCTATGTTTTGTCTAAATATTAACAGCCTCACCTGTTTATTAAAGATATTTCTTATAAAATGTTTACTATTTTCTCTACATATTAGTTGTTTCTGAATCAAGCTATTTAAATACCACAATATTTTGTACTGTAACTAACGGTGCTATCATGATTATGATTAGCATTGGTCTAAAATTAATAACATTAATGAGACAGTATCGACAGAATTGATACAATCCATCCTGTCAATTAATCAATTTCTTTGAAAGATTTGTCGTAACAGGGTTTGAATATCAATTCTAACCATATTCAACTTTGTTAATCGTGATTCTGTTAAAATAGACGCTTAGCTAGAAACGATGAAAAAATATTCGGCTATCGTTTTTAATTGACCAAACTTACTATCCCGATGATTATTTACGTATTGTGTGAAGGACTGGACGATCTACGTCGACAAGAATTGTATTTTGAAATTGTAATATCCGTTTTGATTATTTGGTATCCTAGTATATAGCTCAATATTGTATTATGAGTGGCCCTGTTTGTCAAAATAATTATTTATACAAAGTGATCAATGCATCAGAGCTTTAACTCAAATTTACGATATCCTTGACAAATTGCATGTAACATAGTAAGAGATATCTTCTTATTTACCGGAAAAGTTCAAGCTAATTTGAAAACAACGACTTTCGACAATTTCATTGCATAAATAAATAACTCTCTAGCTATTATCTTAAATGTGTCTATTTACAACAAATACCTGCAATAGATTAGAAATAGACACAAAGCTATCATGAATAAACTTTTCAAGCGAATTTATTTAATTAGCAATCTCTATTTTAAATACCAAAAACTTTTAGATATCCATGACGGTTGAAGGTTCCAAGGATAATCCTGATCATAACCATTTATACCGTGTAGAAGATGGAGAGACCCAGGTTAATGCCAACTACTGGTCTCGCTAATGAATAGAAAGGAATGACTATATTATTAATTGTATAATAATTTTACGGTGACATTGTCTATAGTTGTAAAAATGATTTACTCTCGTTGAGTGTTCAGATAGCGTACCGTACTTCGCAGAAAAGGTTTTTAAAAAAATCATTAAGTGATGTTGAATTAGTACAATACATAAGCAAATGTTCATACATTTGATACTGGTTTCTACATATTAGATTAAGTAGAAGTAATTAATCTAGATGAAGCTGTGCGTATAAATTATAACTATTTTAGTGCGTGAGCTGGTATAGTCTCGTGTATGCACGGTTTGTATCTACTTATTTAAGATTAAAGTTATAGCTGCTGAGCTAGATACAAATAAAATTCCAATTTTATCTGTTATAGTCATATCAAGCTGGTTGTAGTAGTCCAATCCATTTGGAAGAACCAGAAAGTCAAACCCGCTGGTATTTTAAATATTTCCTAGGAAAGGGTAAATAAAAAAACAGTCTTGTTGTAATATTAAAATTCTACTAATAAGAATGAATATTTTGTTACTACATTTGGCTCAATACTAATTTGTATCAAAGCCATTAAAGCAAAAAACACCAGCGGGGTTTATACTTATTACAAAATAATCCAACTTTTTAATATTGAAGCTTGGTCTTCATTACCAGTACATATTTCTCTCTGTCAAGATGATTGCGTTCTATTAATTTGCATTCATGTTAATTTGTCCGGGATATGTACGGTTATATTTATTTTCGGCAATATACAAGATGTCAGTTAATTTTCGATACTCATTAATAGATAATCATTAAAAAACCAACTCTGATTATGGCTGTCAAATTAGTGGTCTCTTTGCTATCTATTCTAACCAGTTTTATTATGTAATGCTACTACAATTAACTTCTCAATTTTGCTTACTAACGTTATTTTATAGAATTTATTTTTACGATACCAATCCAATATTACTGTATATTAATGCAATCGTCTCTTTGCTGTCTAATATAATCAGTTTTATACGTTATTGGAATTTATTTCTCTTTTCTTACTATTGAAGTTATATAAAATTCAACTTATTGTGCTAAATCTTAGATATGTTTATGTAATAAGTATTCTGCTATCCACTATAAGTAGTTTATTAAGTATTATTATCGGAACTTAATTCTCATTTTTTATCGGTGAAATTATATGAAGTTTTAATTTTACCATCCCAATTCCAATGCTATTTTACATTTACACTAATTAAAGCTGAATTACGGCTAGTATGCTATTTGAATCTAAAAAAAATTATTCTAAGTACGTATAAGAATTGATAAACCGAGTGGCTTACTTCTTCTGAATCTGTTGATACTGCGTCTCAAATGTATAATGTAGATGTACTCTGCACTTATGCTGCAGCCTTCATAAAAATTATACTTGAATATTAGAAGATATTCTGAATGATAAATCTCTCATTAATTTTATATGATACAACGAATAGTCCATCGCAATTACGTTGGCTTCGATAAAGAAAAGCAGCCATTCTTTGTATCAGTAGTAACTGAAACAGACAACTCTAATTTTACGCAATATCGAGCAATATTATGGCATAAAAAAGCAAGTTTTTTTACCATTACTGCCAGAATTGAGCAAATTAATTTTAATAATATTACTTAATGGTTACTCCTATTTAAACAGGGATGCCAAAAATTATGCATACCTTGGAAACTAAAGAAAGATTTATCTATAAAAGGAATCTTACAGTATGATATAACTGTTAATAATATCACTAGATCACCGTAGTGATAGAAATTGGCTGCAAAGACCATTTCTAACTGTCTTCATAACCCCAAAATATGCTTTCTCATGGTGTCTTCAATTCGATTTTGTAGGTTTTTTTCACTAAAAGATATTGATAAACCTCATCTTAAACAAATTCAAACGCCATCACTTCAAAAGGTAAAACTTGGACTATAACTAACGTTACCTGGAAAAGGATTACATTTACCGTAGCTCGAAATTCTTAATTACAATTTTATTTTCTCTCGTAGCGATTACTGCAATTAGAAGAACAAGAGGTAAGAAAGGAAGACGTAAACAGGCTTTGAGCAATTAATATTAATAAAAGTTGTCGAAAAATGAACATATGAACTTTATATTGCCCTTCGTTCTATATTGTAACTATTTAGGGTGCAATTAAACACAAATTTGGAGTTATTTATGCTCGGTCAGGTCAAGTCCGCGACGATGAAATGTTAAGCAATGGTAAATTTTATTTATGTTTTAGTCTATACCTTGCGGTATATTAGTATCTGATGAGGTAAATGTATCCATCGAAGCTGAGTTTCTATTTATGCCATCATGCTAATAAGCAATGTGAGGAAATTTGTTTTATATTATGCTCTTCCTAATATGTTAATACAGAAAGTGGAAGTGAAGGCTTCAATGCTTTTATCAATTTATTGGGTGATCAAATTCGATTACAGAACTGGAATAAATATCGAGGCGGTCTTGATGTCAAGCGTAAGTAAAATTTTGCATGTACAGTGTTATATTAGGAATACATCCAGTAACATAATCAATTGATCATATGAGCGAACATTATAGACAATTGAAGCTGCTTTCTTACGGTATTCTCTCTTATTGATCCTATCTTCGTGTATAGGCAATACAACTGGAGAAAATTCTTATTATACCGTTCATGAAGGAAGAGAAATTATGTTTCATGTTTCCACTATGCTTCCGTATGAGCCGACAGATCGACAACAGGTAAGAGATTGGGCTAAGTTTTAACTTACTAGAACTTTCTAAATATGGTCAGGCTAACTATTAGTACATCCTATTTCATGGCATCTTCACGTTTGGCATTTTATATTTTATAAAATGTTCACTTCAAGATTGAACGCAAGCGCCATATTGGTAATGATATTGTCGTCATCATCTTTCAAGATATTGATGGAGAGGAGAAACCTACATTTAAGCCAACTGGCATTAAATCCCATTTCACACGTATCCTATTTTGATTGCATTACAATAGCTTTTGTACAATAATGAGTCACTTATAGAAATGTCTGGTAACCTTACCTCTAAATTTTGAAGCAAATGAAAGCTACCATTTGTATATCTACATAAGCAACATAGTAAATATCCTTAACTAGAGCGATTAATCTCCTAAAATAGATGTTTTCGCTTTGGTAACCCATAATAAAATCGACAACACTTACAAGTAAATTATTCTTCATATCGATCTAATATCATAAAGCGACGAAATATAGACTAAACATCATCCTATAACTACGAATTTGTTAAAAATGAATATTTGGATTTGTATTCTATAGAAATATACTTTCTTAAATATCGACGTTATGATTGATTTGTAGATTAGCTGTGTATTCTTATAATGCTGTACCATTATTCGGCCCACCATTGCATAAACCACCCGTATTCTCCAATCACCAAGAATTTCGCGATTTTCTTCTTGTTAAATGTAAGCCTTTTGCGTATGCTTTGGCAAACTAAGATAACTGAAATGAAAAATAATAAATCAAAACCAATATTTATCATGAATTATGATGATATTACAGTCTAGGCAACTTAGTTTGTACATATTATCTCGTATTTTATGCTTGATATCAGAAATCTACTGCTAATTTTTTTAAAATTCGCATTTTTTCTATCATTTCAATATTATTATTGATTAGTAATTAACGGAGAGAAAGCATCGTATCATATCCCAGTCTTTGCTGATAAAAGAAGAAGAACACTTGAAGCTTTAATTCGAAACGTCTATGAGGATCTTGTTGTTCCAGAAGTGAGAAGTGTTTATATTGAAGATTTGATCAATAACTAATTTAAACTGATGAACATAATTCGGATATAAATTCAGTCACTTACAGATCTTATTAATTAAAATCTATTTTTCAGCTATTGCACTCTCGATCATTCCTTCTATCTTCCTTTCCTGGCGCAGAAGCGAAAAGAAAACGTGAAGAATTTTTGGAATATGGTACTGCTCTTAAAATTGATGTCATTAACGCAGGTAGTGCACCTATTGGGACGTCTAGCTCTCGTCCGAGAGATCGTCGACAGGTTTGTATTCGATTCTACATTCAATTACTACGGCATTAACTAACATTTGCATCAATCTTTGATGACTTCTCATAATGAGAAAATATAGAAATATGGATTTTCTTTCATTTTTAATTATATCTTTTAGCCTTGGCTACCTCATCGTGTATGCTCTAATTTTCCACATTCTGTCATTTGTGGTGACAGTTGGGGTAAGTACAGCAGTTATTCTACCCATGCGAAAATTATCCAAATATTTCTTACGCATAATGCAAATACGCACTAGCGATTGGTACTTATCTCAAACTACGAATCCATGTCTAATATTCCTTAACTTATAAATTCTAAGGTGATTCTTTGGTGGTTGCAACAGAAAAGGGTGTTTTTCTTGTAGAAGGTATATAAAGCTAAGGCATTTATGTTGGTAAAAATTTTAAGGAGTGTTTTAAACTAGGGATACTGTAGACTTATGGTTCTGTGTTACTATTTTACGTAGTTACATATTTTTGCCTCTCGAAATGTTCTCTCTATTGAGATGCCGAAATAAAGTATTGCCTTTAATGATTGTACTATTTATGTATTGACGGGTGTTTATACCTGATAATGTTTTCATACAGTAACAGGCCAAGGTTGATATTTAGAGATTATATATTCTTAATATTAGCTTTCACTATTCGCAGTATTTTAAAATTCAATACATTAAATTTTATCTTGGATTACTACACAGATTGATATGTTTGAGGTTTAATACCCTTAATATTAGCTATAACTATTCACATTATTTTAAATCGAATACGAACACTTACTATAGGTGATTATATAGATTGATATTTTAAGATTTAAGATTATTAACATTAGTTTCACTCTTTGTAGTACTTTAAAATTAATATCCTTAGTACTGTTTTTCACTATTTGTAGTATTTTAAAAATGGAACACAAAAAATTTATCTTAGATGATTACCCACTAATGTTTAAGACTTAACATCCTTAATATTGATTTCACTATTTGCAGTACAGTATATTAAAATCAAATATGAAAATTTTTTAGGTGATTACGCTTATCAAGAATTGATTGATTCTAGCGTAACGATTAATCAATTAAATACGGTGGAATCTCATCACATTCTACTCATGAGAGGGCATTGTAAAGGTAATCTATTTTAATTTATACTCTACGAGCGGGATTCATGAAATACTTCAGCCGATACTTTTCTCTACAGTTCATTTGCTGATAGTTAGTTACTTTAGGTTATTTTTCTTAAATTAATCGGGATTGAATAGAGCGATGAATTTGCAAAAAATCGATATAATGAGATCCATTCTGAAATTAACTTATGACTTGTTCAATAAGAATATCTATAATGGATCGTGAAATATCGAAAAAACTACTAACCAAAATAGAAATTTTTATTACTTCTTTCTAATTCAAGTCACTAATATTTGATCTAATGCAGGAAAAGATACCCGGCAATACTTGTATATTGTTATGCTGAATGAATTCGTTGGAGACAAAACAAGCACAACGATAATTAAAGGAATTGATGTCATTAAGGATGGGCGATTAGAGATAACTCGCGGTAAGATTATAAAAAATATTTATGATTAGATCTAATATCATTAAATTGCATTGTACAAAATGGACCTTACATATCTGATAGGTAGACAATAAGTAAGAATAAATCGAAAACGCATGGAATTCGCTTAGCTAACTTTTCCGTACATAACAGGTTGCCATTTATATGCAGTTAACCAAAGTAAAGATGGCGTTCTTAAAGTAGCTGTGGCAATCAAGGCACGTATAATCATATTAACGCTAAGTGGGTTAGATGAATTTGAACACAGGCTTCAAATATCGCCGCAAGACTTGATTGAACGATTTGTTAAATCTCAGGTATTTCTTGAGCACATTGCGTAAACTTAGCTACTACAACGAAAGAAATATTTTGATCAAGGGTTAAGTGCCGCCCTACATGAGATTTACTAAAATAAATTGATGTATTCTTGACCAATTATGCTCTGTTACATTAGAGTAGTATTGGCCTTTATTATTCTATGATGAAAAGGAATATATTAAGTAATATAGTCTTAAAATATTGTTATATTTCGTACGGTAATCGATAAAGTAGTCTTATAACATAATGCACTCAAATGGTACTTTAGGTCTCCAATGCATTTAAAATCTATTATTTAGCAACGGTTAGCTTCTATAACGGCATACATTCCGTAGCTTTCGTTAATGAATAGTTGTACTCTATGCTATAAATACTTAACTATTAGGTAAATTAGTCTCGAAGCAACTATCTTGAAGGCGATATTAATAAGTAGAGGAAAACACCTAAATCGGTATTGCTTAATCATTATTACTATAAATAACGGTTGAAATTTCATACAGGATATTTCGCTCGGTCAAGAGCCGACGTTAATATCGGTGGCGAGTGGGCATCAACCCGAATCGGATCTAATTTGTGTTGGCTATAAAGAACATTTTGAAATTATCGAGGAATCAACTGGCGATATCAAAAAGGTCCATCGATTAGAGGCGTTCGGACAGGTAGCTATCTCTATATGAATTCTATTTTAAAAGGCGAAATTGAGCAAACGTTGTAACTCTGATGAAAACCGTAATATTCAGATATTTTAAAACGTAAAAGAAACTATACATATTATTAATATAGAAAAATTGAAATAATTTTGAAGATAATAACACAATTTATTGTAACATTAACCACAATTTCAATTCTTAATATTAGTTTGAAGAAGTCAAATCTAAGAAACGTCATAAAAAGAAGGTAAGTACTGACAACTAAAGATAGATTTCTATTTCAATACTCGATTACATAGTAAGATCAATTTCAGAATTTTATTTCTTTTCTTGCCATTTCTCTGAATCTCGGTAACTTACTTGTAATTTTCTTAACATAGGCCATCAACTTAGTTAATCCGGTCAATGTTTATGATGAAGCTGGTAAGCCGGAAGTATTCCTGACTGGCAATCGTAAGTCGATGAAATAAAATAGTCATATCTATCGAATGCAATATAAACTTAGTAGTGTAAATGTTAATTTAATTTGTCATCGAATTGTGCTACCGTTGTAAATTCTTAACCTTTTAACATATTATTTGCTCTTATTTTTTGATAATTTAGATGTTTCTTTCCTCCTTGGACTTGGTCTAGAAGTTTCATATATCAGCAGTTACTACTGGAATCATCCACCACTTTATATCGGTAAAGTAGCTAGCTTGTCAGTCAATGCACAGGAAAGATTTAGATCGTTCTGTTAAATTAAGCCAGATTTAATAGATTAGTGCCATCTTTGACTGATTACTAGTTAATATTATAAATTGTTACATTTCAGTTTGTGCTTATCCATATTTGTTGGGATTTGCATTAAATTATATCGAAATCAGATTGGTCGTTAATGGATGCTTGGTTCAAGCTATTACATTTCCAGAAATTCAGTTTATTACATCCAAGGTAATATCTGACTGCTGCGTTATTCGTTCACTAATTTAAGAGATGTCATCATCTTTTACTGTCGTTGTGGAAAGAATTTCTATAGCTTTAAATGAATAATGATTGTGATAATTAAGTAGACTATTCTTGTCATTATTCATCTCAAAGTCAATGTAAACTAGCTAGCAAATTGAAGCAGTTTAGCATATAATTCATTTTTAATTCATCGATCCATGATGCTGCTATAAATCTAAATTTGTATTAAGGAAAATATAACTGTAACAGAAACTAACACTACGAGCCCACTGCTTATAAATTTAGATTGCAGTAGATGCTTTTATATAATGAACGGATTGTAATGTTTTACTGCCTAATTCCTGTAGTTTGACATCTATTTCGCAACACAACCAACACGATCAGCTTCTATTGGTTCGAATAGCTCTCAAGGCGTAGTAACACAACGATTAAATTCGTGTGCCTTATATAAAATACCAATAATGTCGCTATTAGGTAATGTCAATCAATCATTTCAGTAGCTTAAATAACTTTAAAATTTTAATAGGCAAGGTTATGAAATATAACGTCTGCAATTTCTATATGCTAAGTTGAATTATTTCGAAATATTAGGTGATGAACTGTACATGTCGAGAATTAAATCGACTGTAACGGCAGCAGGTATAAATAATTCAGCAATGCGTCCTGGTCGATTTAATTCTACTTCTAAAGGTGGACCATTTAAACGCTGTGAATCCAATCTCGTTGAATCAACTAAAGGAGTTCCACGTAGTATTATGAGAGCTCAGTTGCATCGAATTGTATGAGAGATGGCGGTATTACAGATTATTCCTACAACCCTGTCTTAGATAGGATTATTTCTTGAAAAATGACCTATTAGATCGTATATGGTGAGATTACCGTTCTCATTTTACTTAGCCTCTACGAGTTATGTTCGATTTGAGGCCATATTTTAAAATTGATGTATCAAGGGCTTTGTTCAAATCAGTTCAAATCGGTAATCAATTATACTATTTGATGGATTTGTAGTGATAGTCAAAGCATAAAACAATCAGTTTGCTATTTTAAGACAGTTTAATTATGGATCGATATTATTTGGTGCAAAATTTGTTCTAATTAAATATCTTTTTCCTATTGTTCATTAAACCAATATCGCAATTCTGTGGTTTATGAATCTTACATTATATGAACCTTCTGCTTTTTAGTTAAAATAGAGTTAAGGATTATTGTGATCTAGTCCATGATCCATTTTAAAGATAATTGCATGGTTTGAAATTAAAATTGAGCTAATATTTCCTTTAAAGGAATATCATCATTTTGTGGTTTATAAGTCTTACTTATATGACTCCCGCCTTTTCATTAAAGTAGAGTTATAGATTATTGTGATCTAGCCCATGATCCATTTCAAAGTAGATTGCATAATTTGAATTTGAAATTAAGCTAATCTTTCCTTGAAACCAATCTATTTTGTTGGTTTATAAATCTTACTATATATAAATTTCACATTTTTTTAGTTCAGATAGAGTTATAGATTATTGGAGTCTAGTCAACGATACAGAAGATTGCATTATTTGAAATTGAGCTAATGTTTAATTATCTTATTTATTGTTAACAAATGATATTAGTAGAAGATGGTTAGACTGTTTATCTGATTTATACATGGTAAAAATTTGTGAAGTAATAGCTTACATGAATTGTGGTCTATGTTTTTATCATGATATTATGACAAATTGAAAATTCTCTTTTATTATTTACTGTATAAGATAAAATTTTTAGATACTATTTGCTCTGCATAAATTTACAGAATCCGTTGCCTTTTAAATTATTGTAGATTCATTGAAAAGGTTAGCAGTTTCGACTTTATATTATCATAACTTAAGTTTCATTTAATGTTCGAATCAATTTGTTCCTTTTAAATTAGATAGGATTAATTTAAGCCTCGCTTATTAAATTATATGATTTTCATGGTCCAATAGAAAACTTTAGACCTGTTTGTTTATTGCATAGTTATTGAATTTTAGCTGTTGAATTTTATCAACTACATATGCTTAAGAAATCAAATTGCTTTCAAACCGATTATAAAGTTTACCTATCTTCATTTTTATGAATATTATGACTTATGTCTTTTTCTACTAAATGGGTAAATTGCGTAAATTTCAAATTCTACTTCATGATTTGTGACCGTACGATGTGCAGTCTACGTTATGTACAAGCTGAAATTAAGTCAATAATATTTATTTGTGGGTGCCAGTTTCGGATTGAGATCATTATACTTATTGATAAAAAAATTTAATAATTTGTCTTCTGCACTGCTACATCCATCAAGTATCCTAACTGGAAAATACCTGCTATTGAGTAGTTTATCTAATTCTTAATCTACAGGCATATCTTATATTAGATATAATTTTGATCACTTAAATGTCGTATAAATATCATTTAAAATAATGTCGTTATATGTTGTATAAACTTTCAATGCATGTTCAAATAAAATAGCTAAAACGCTAAAATGAAAGTGTGGTCATTTATGTTAATGAAAGTAACTGTGTTACTATAATACTAAACCAAAGTACGCCATCGTTGCTTTGTTAAAACTACCTGGTATTCCATCTTTCTGCTGATGGATTTACACTCATATGAATTTACAATCAATACACTAAAACTGTTCGAAGGTTATGATGAATTCATAAGTAATCTAATAATGGATCGATTACTCAGGATGTTCAATTGCAATTAAGTTTACAACTCTATCGCTTATCAATGTGCTAATTAACTCATTCTTTCATTTTTATGCGTACTCTATATGCATCCAGTAAATTACTTATATAACTTCAGTCCTATTGTTACGGTACGAACTACCGTGAAGAAATAGCTATCTAAATTTGGTTAATATAATATAGTGATAATATATTACAACTAGTGACTTACAATAGGAATTACTCTAATTATAAATGTGTTATAGTAAATTTAATGTTGTGCTGTAACGTGCACTGAAATGATCTGTGAATGGACATGTTGTAGTCCGACTGTGAAAAATTAGTTAGTAGATGTTCTCACCTAAGTATTTTTATAAGATGACTCATGAATGTTAGCTGCTGTAGATGGGCATATAAGCCCATCAGATAGTTGAATAAAAGTAATTCTCAATTGTCTAGTTGAGTTTAACGTAGAACCAAAGGCATCTAAATTCTTGTGAGATAGTTAAGGGATACTGAATCCCGGAGACTATAGTAATTTAGAGATTTGTTTTATGTTATCTTTGTCACGAAGCTGGTTTGTGACAGCTATCTACACACTAAAACTATTCACAGGTAACGACTATAATTTATAAGTAATCTGGGAGTAGATTGATTGCTCTAGATGTCCAGTTGCAATTAAATTTACAACAATATCGCTTTATAGCTTAATATCGCTTGTTAATATACTAATTAACTACTTTTTCGTTTTCATACAAAGCTTATATGCATCGAGTCAATTACTTACATAGCTTCTTGCTATCTACATACTGAAACTATTCATAGGTCACGATTAATTTGTGAGTGATCTATGGATGCATTGATTGCTCTGGATGTTCAATCACACTTAAGTTTAACTTTATCGCTTGTAGCTCGGTATCACTTATTACTAATGTGCTAATTATTCCTTTTTCGTTTTATGCCTTCGTTTATATGCATTTATTCAAACACTTATATAGCTTTTGTGCTTAAATCTACAGCGCAAAAAGATGTAAAGGCTACGGTTGAGGGAAATGCTTGAGTACAATCCCTTTACGCAGGATAATAAGGGTGCACCTCCAGCTAGGTCTAAATCAAATTATTGTGGCAGTAGAGTGATAAGACTAGTAAATTATGAAATTTATTCGTTCTTCAGACTCGGCAATGAAGTAAAATTACGTCTAAATTAAACTTGGATAGAATAGGTATATTGTATACAAAATTATTTCAAATCATAAGTATAGTACTATTACTACTTAAAATCGTGATTATAAAGAAGACTGTCTTAATGTGCGATTCTACCCGGATGAATTAGGTTTATAATATCGGCTTCAGTAAAATAGTACGAAGAAAAGTAAGATAAAAATATTTCAGGGAAGCACGTAATACTAAATCGTTAAACCATATATTGCTATATATATATATATAACATATATATATATTGTGTACTTAACACATTGCATTACTTTATGCAAGTGTTATAGACTTAAGTCAGATAGAACATGCATAAAAGTAAAGCTGAGATTATCCTCATATTAAATATGTAATTCCGTTTTTTGGACGGTTTGTATTTAAAACATACCCTGAACGGCTTACTAAAATTGTAATCAGAATCTACCGTAAATTACGCTAAGCCAACGAGGTATGCAGAAATTAAAAGTACCGATATTTGATATAATTCCCCAGAATGCCTATCGTATACCTTTTATTTTTCACTATTGTAGCCATAGCTCCATAGATAGAACTACCCGTAAATGATGTGTATCGTTCAGGCTAATGCAGTAAAATATAAATATTCGATGGGAATAGCATTTTCATTACCAATACATTGTTTAGTTAACATGCTGTAGATGGTGTTGGATTCTAGTCATTGTTGTGTTTGTTTTCATCTGGATTTGCTATAGCAAATTCGGGAGTACACAGTATATAAGCTAAAAATAAGATCTGAATACCGTATTCGAAGAAATGGTGAAAAATATCGAGTTTCCTTCTCCAAACATATTGCTTAATATCTATGGTGGTCGATTTTAATTGTCACCTTAATAGGTAAAGCTATCTAGATGTATATTATTTTGGCTAATAATACTTGCAATATCAGTAAAATATGAACTAGAACGTAAAACCTGAATATTCGAGGGAATATAGTAGTATCCAAATTTTAACATCTAATATCTCTGTATTTGCTTAACACAAATTGTGATAGATTCAAATTACTATTCGATGCAATATTATCCACGCATACATAGCTTTAGCTTAGACTATTTATTATACGAATATATAGATATACTGTATATGTTCTAAAAAATAAGAAAAAAATTCAAGAGAATGGCATTAAATATAAATTACTCTTTGATAATAAATGAGACAATAAACCATTGTATTTGAGTTATTTCAATGCTGTTATTAATAAATGATTAATAGTGATGCATTGATAATAAGAACTACATGAACTATTTCTAATCGTTTACCAAGAGCAATTCATCATTAATCTATTGTATTTCATCTTTAATCTCTTTTCAATCGGAATTAATGATGTGTACTTATTATGTTACTCCTTTGCTTTACGATAAACGTTGCTTTCTAACTAATTATTGAATTTTTGCAAGAATTGATCACACCTGGCTATTGTATGTTTACCTAATACTCATCGATGATGAGAAGAAGGTTCCATCAGTTCACTTTGTTATGGAAGGGATGCACCGTAGTAAAAGAGGCGATACAGTTATTCTTTTTCCATTACATAAAATGAAGTCTTTTCGCAATGTAAAATAACAATATTTCTTCTATGATAAATCAGCAAATTTCTTAATCCTTTAGCTTATTTTTGAATGATGCCCTATTTGGATTGATTGCTGTCCTAAACTACATTATGAACAGTGACTTACATTGGAAATAATGATATCGATATATTAAATTTAAATTACGTCTTCGAATAGCTATCGACATCATTCTTCATACATTCCAGTTACAATATTCAAAAAAATTACGAATCATTTTTTCCGCACTACTTGTATTATTTACTAGAGTGAAGAATAAATATAAATATAAATAAATGCCATAGGTACTGTGGCTTTAGGCAACCCTAGGATTGCTTT